GTTCAAGCCTTATGTTGTAAGCATCAGCCCCCCCCCCTCACGCCCAGGGGAGTCCTGAGAAATCTACCGGGTTTACGTCCATCAAAAATGCAACGGCAGGGAGGGCCTGGCCTTTTTCGGGGAACGAGCCCTCTGGTCGGTTGGGAATGAGCTTGCGTCCTTGTTTAACCATCTTTTTAATATGTGTAAAGCCCGCGTTTTGCGGGAATGAATCCTGATTTTGTTGCATTTCCCCGCGTACTTTTTTTTTTTAAATTTAAGCGCATCTTTGCAATGAATAACACCTTCTGTTAGTCGGCTTTTTTGGGGAAGGAACCCACGGAACAGCCGACAACGTCGGGCGCCGTTCATGCCTTCGGAGTCTGGCCCGAGGCCTTCAAACTGGCGCCACGGTACCTGCAACGTGCGCCTGCCCAGCAGCGCCAGCTCGAGCGAGCGAGCGAGCGAGCGAGCGAGTGGATAAAGCCGATCCTGGCTTGGGGGCCTGGCTTTTGCTAGTTGGAAGGGGCCAAGGCTCGCGCGAGTTGTTCTTCGTTTGGTTCACGCCTCGTCGAGGGCCTGTTTTGTGCGGTTTCTCGTTTTTTCTTCCCAAAAAAAGAATGCAGGTGTGAATCCAAGCGAACACCACCAGGCAAATCGAGCGAGCCGGGCTCTTGCCCCAGGTGTGAATCCAACAAAAACCACACCAGGCCCTACAGGAAGCAATTTGTTTTCGGCAGATGGGAATCCAACAAAAAAGCACATTCAGGGCCCGCAAATGTGATATATCAGGTAGGCCTGGTAGTTTGGATTGCTGGTTTGGGGATTTGAACCCCTGGCTCTTCTGGAGGGTAAATGGAAATTTACTCAACCTCCAGCCCTGAAATTTCCAATTTCTGCTGGCAATGGCACTTTTGCCTGTCTCTTTGGCAAGGGACCTTGTGCAACAAGCCATGTTGCCTGGTTTCCTGCGAAGAGCCCCTCATGCGGCCGTAGGTTCTTATTTTAGGGAGGAGGCTTTCAGGCAGGGGGGAGATGGAACCCCTGTGTTGGTGAGCCCTTTAGTCATTAATCAGCGCAGGCCTGCATTTTGGGAAGGACCAACCTGTTATCTTTAGGAAACCCACACGAAGCGTCCACAAGAAAAGTTTCACGCTGAAGCTTTATTTTTGCTAGGTACCTACCAAAGTCAAAGTTCATTTTTCTTTTCAGTGTTTCACCCTCTTGGCTAAACCGCCAAGCGGCCGGCATTGTGTTTTGAGCCGGGCTTCACGCAGTTTCCTCCGCTTCCTTTTTTGGATTCACCAAAAGTGGATCGATCGTTTCAATGAACACCACGCGCACATTGATATCGACTGTTGATGTGGGGAAATCCCTGCGTGACCCCCTTTTTTGCTTTTTTTCAGCGAGCCACCTTTCTTTTAGGGCTGCCTTCCCCCATTCTTTCCAGGGATCCTTCTTTCTAGAATACCTCCGGAAACCCAGGGAAAATGGCCGGTTTTTGAAAAACAGGATAACTGAACAGATGAAAAATCAATCCCACGGCAACCCCGGGGAGTCCAACCCTACATGTTTAGGTGGCTTTTTTCGGGAAACCAAAAGGACCACCTGAAGAAAAAAACACCAACAACAACAAGAAAACATCGGGAAACCAAAAGGACAAAAAAGACATACATACACACAGATGCATACATACATACATACATACATACATACGTACATACGTACATACGTACGTACATTTTTGGTTGGCGGGCGGAGCGTCAATGGAGACCTCCAGGTGGGCGACTTCTCGATGGGCTTGGGCTTCATTGGCTCCATCGACCACTTGCCCAAGGCATGCAGCGGGGCCGCTGGATGCCGCTGGATGCCGCTGGATGCAGATGGGTTCCATGGGACCTGACACGGCGGGATAAAAAAAACACGTCAAAAGCGTCAGTCAGGTTCCATGTTCATTGGTAGGAGGGTAGCCTTTCTTAGGGGTTTCAAAGGGAACCCGCGAATTGGGAAAAATGCTCAGGGTGCGACTCCTATTTCGAGACGGTTGGCGCTTTCCAGGCAAGGAGCCCTGGGTTTGTGTGTTGTTTTGCCATGGGTTTAGAGCACCTAAAAGATACATTTTGCAACCAGTTGAAACATGGCTTTCCCACCAAAATAAAGTTGGAAGCCACCATTTACAAGTTGCAATGTTCAGGTGTTGTCACGCATCCGGATCCCTGATAAACACAAGCACAAAGATGAACAAAATGCCCAAAGGCACAGAAGAAAGGCAGCAGGAAGTGTCCAATTTCTTGGGCCCTTCCAAATGGGTCCATTTGGGGTTTGAGAGAGCAAGCCATGGGCTTGTGAAAGGACGGTCCATAACCCACAAAAAATAGGGCAAGTTCATATTCCGAAAAAAAAAAAAAAAAAGTGAGCAGGGGCCACATGATGACAGTTGCTTTTTTGCTTTTCCGGCTACAAAATCCCAGCCACAAATTCGCGGGGGCCAAGGGGCAGCTGGAAAGCGCACATTGATTCCCCGGCCATCCGAGACTTGAGGCAGGAATTGATTTGCCGCTGAAGAAAGCCAGGGAGCCGGGAGCACCCCGGGAGGACAGGTCCGGCCTGTCACACGAAACAGGCGCCCCCTCGTCAAAATTTCACTCTTGCACTTGTTGCAAGGGCCGGACCACGTGGAGGCGTCAAAATCAAGCCAAGTACTGGAAGCTCAGAAGAACTATGCCCTTGTATGCGTTTTGCTTTTGATTTCAGAGGCGAGTGCATGCCCTTGCTGTCGGGGCGGAACATTCGTTGGATTGGCAACATGGCGTATGTTCATCTTGATGGTTCTCAGTGGTTTCCTTTTAGGGGACCAACTCAGTTCATTCCCAAAACCCGACTCGGTCATTCCTTACTGAGAGCCAGCAAGTCATCATGAACCACGTATGCCTGCTGCATCCCGTTCTCCGCAGGGAATGATGGAATGACCCCTATAAACCATCCCTAGTGGTTTCCTTTAAGCGGAGCCCTGGGTTCATTCCCCAAATCCGGACTCCAGCAAGTCATCATGAACCTGGACGTATGCCTACTGTATCCCGTTCCCAGCCCGTTCAGGCGAGCTGGTTCGCTGCCATCAACGACTTGCCGCCCGCCTAGAAACGGCTTGGCACGAGCTCCGTTCCGGCTTGGCACTGGGACTTGGGTAAAGGGTTCTTTGTTGGCCAGTGGATTCCGCCCCCTTTGTTTTCTTTCTGCTTTGTTTTGGGTAACCTGCGGTTTCACTTTAAACTCAGCCAACAAACATGCCCTTTTTTCCCCATGGCCGCTGGGCATCTGAGGGTTTTTGGGAATGCCAACAGTAGTGACCATGTACCCACTTGCCAACGAGCAAATGAGCAAATGGAGGTTACCAATCATCACCCTAAACCCTTGGCTGCAAGGCTGGAGAGAGCGCAAGCCAGCAAAAAAAGAAATCATCAGCCAGCTGCATGGGACTTGAGCAATCCAATCAAGTTTTCTTGCGGGCGTGAAGGGAATATCGACTTCTTTCAAGCTGGCATTTCCTTGAATCATTTGGGGGGGGACCCTCTTTTTCACGAACCTGGAGGAGCTCCCTCATTTATTTCTTCTAATTTTCAACTCATGTATTTTATTATTATTAGAATTATCATTATTTTTATTTTTATTTTATTTTATTTTTTGTTGGGGGGGGAGCAGGATGAGGTGTTTGGTTTTATCCAGGGCCGGTTTTCTCTTCTTCGGCCTTCCCCGGCGGGTCGGTCGGTGGGTCTCCGCGCTCGGAGCAACCAGGCCCGGCCTCCGACGCGCGCTGGAGGTGCGGTTTAGCACGCGGGCGCGGGCCGCGGGTGCTGGGACTCGGCGGTTTGGCCGAGTCAGGGGGTCAAAACGCGGGGAAATTGGAAGAGGTCTCAAATTGTGTGTCTTGTTTTTGCCCAAAGTCGTGGATTTTTTACGGGTTTGGTTTTAAATGTGCAGATTAAACATGGAACCCAACAAGAGGGTCCTCCCAAAGCAGATGGTCTTGAGGAAAAAGAAGCATGTTTACTGGGTTTCATGTGTATCACGTGAATGTCAGAACTAAATCCGCCAAAAGTGCCACATGCCTTGGTGGCTCGAGCTTTTAAGCTTTTTAGCTTCTCAGGGTTTAGTGGTAATCCACCAAAAGTGCCACATACCTTGGTGGCTCTAGCGTTTTAGCTTCAAAAGTGCCACATGCCTTGGTGGCTCTAGCGTTTTAGCCTTTTAGCTTCTTAGGGTTTAGTGGTAGTCTACCAAAAGTTAAAAACTTTGAGCAGGGAATCTGAGGGATGGCACCCTCGAGAGATGTCGGTCCGTTTGGGTGTTGCTCTTTGATAGGACCGCTGGCCCCTTTCAACTGCTGGAGCTTTTTCGGTTTGTTTGGCTTTGGGGCGGTTTTTCATTTTCCAGGGGCGTGGCCTGTGTCTCATACCACAACTTGCAAACGCACCTTCAAGCTGCGAAGTCTAAGGATCTGTTGGGGAGTGGGCGCAGTCTAATGATTGAAGCATAAACCTGCTACCACTTGCCAACGCACCCATCCTTGCTGTTCCCCCCCCCCTCCCCCCAAGGTTCACCGGTTGACTGCCATTTGCGTTTTCGCCCCCTGGATCAAGAACTGTATTTCCAGTGGTGGGAAAGGTTCCCCTTAAAACCAACAATTGAAAATTAAAAAGGACCATGTGGTATCCCAACAACAGCTCCTGGGAATCCTTCCCGAAAGCTGCCCTCGTTCGAATGAGCCTTTCTGGGCAGAGGCCAAATCCATAGCTTCCAGCTGTTGGTTGGACAAATCTTGGTTTCAGCAAATGGACGCTTTCCATGGATAAAAGCCGACGAAACCAGGCCCAACAAACCAACTAAAAGAGGCGAAAGCACCCATGAAACCAGGAAATGGAAGCTGATCGTCCCTGTCCTTGCCGCTGGCTTGGGCTTTAGGCGGCTTCGCCGTGTCTGACACCATCTCTCGTCGCTAAAAGGGTAGGTAGGGTCCGTTCGCCATGGCCGCGAACGGGGCAGCGAACGGGGCGGAGGAGCCGATGGCGGAGGCAGTTGCGCCCCTCCCCCGGCCCAACACCCCTATTCAGACCCCAGACTCCCTTTTTCTGGCTGGTTTCCTAAGAACAGACCAGCGGAAACCGGAAAGCCCGCCATTTCGGGAGCCTCTCATTTCGACTCATTTGGCTTGCGAGTGTTTCCTTCTTGTCTCCCGAGTTCCGGGCCTTGGGTCATCTTGGTTCACTTTTTGGGGTTGGGCCACTTGAGTAGAGGAAAAGTGGAGCTGGCGATGGGGCATCCGGCTCCGAGGTTCGTCGTGCACAGCCCGTTGAGGCAGGCACAGCGCTACGCTCTGATGGCCAGAAAGAAGAAGACAAACGAAAACACATTTTAGTGGTAAACCCAAAGTGTGGTACACAAAAAGTGGTAAACCAAAAGTCGTTTGTAATGGTAAACCAAAACGTGTGGTAAACCAAAAGTGGTAAACCAAAAGTCATTTTAGTGGTAAACCAAAAGTCATTTTAGTGGTAAACCAAAACGTGTGGTAAACCAAAAGTGGTAAACCAAAACGTGTGGTAAACCAAAAGTGGTAAACCAAAAGTCATTTTAGTGGTAAACCAAAACGTGTGGTAAACCAAAAGTGGTAAACCAAAACGTGTGGTAAACCAAAAGTGGTAAACCAAAAGTCATTTTAGTGGTAAACCAGAACGTGTGGTAAACCAAAAGTGGTAAACCAAAAGTCATTTTAGTGGTAATCCAAAACGTGTGGTAAACCAAAGTGGTAAACCAAAAGTCATTTTAGTGGTAAGCAAAAAGTGTGGTAAACCAAAAGTGGTAAACCAAAAGTCATTTTAGTGCTAAACCAAAAGTGGTAAACCAAAGGTCATTTTAGTGGTAAACCAAAACGTGTGCTAAACCAAAAGTGGTAAACCAAAACGTGTGGTAAACCAAAAGTGGTAAACCAAAACGTGTGGTAAACCAAAAGTGGTAAACCAAAAGTGTGGTAAACCAAAACGTGTGGTAAACCAAAAGTGGTAAACCAAAACGTTTTAGTGTGGTAAACCAGAACGTGTGGTAAACCAAAAGTGGTAAACCAAAAGTCATTTTAGTGGTAATCCAAAACGTGTGGTAAACCAAAGTGGTAAACCAAAAGTCATTTTAGTGGTAAGCAAAAAGTGTGGTAAACCAAAAGTGGTAAACCAAAAGTCATTTTAGTGCTAAACCAAAAGTGGTAAACCAAAGGTCATTTTAGTGGTAAACCAAAACGTGTGCTAAACCAAAAGTGGTAAACCAAAACGTGTGGTAAACTAAAAGTGGTAAACCAAAACGTGTGGTAAACCAAAAGTGGTAAACCAAAAGTCATTTTAGTGGTAAACCAGAACGTGTGGTAAACCAAAAGTGGTAAACCAAAAGTCATTTTAGTGGTAATCCAAAACGTGTGGTAAACCAAAGTGGTAAACCAAAAGTCATTTTAGTGGTAAACCAAAACGTGTGGTAAACCAAAACGTGTGGTAAACCAAAAGTCATTTTAGCGGTAAACCAAAACGTGTGGGGATTTGTTTGGCAAAAAACACACAGGAAGTGAGTTTCGGCTTCCCTTCAAAGACTGCAGACTCCAAAGTCTGCGCTTTTTCTTATTCCAATCCACTCGATCGGAAGATTGACCTGGACTTGTTTTTTCTGGCCCTCTGAAAATGGGGATGCGGAACCTCCAGACCAAAACCCGTGGCGCCCATTTTGGTCCTTTGGGGTTTTTCCCCGCGTTGCTCCTAGGTCCCCCAGCCCTTTCTCACCCCTTTTCTTGGGGGAGGGTTCCCCTAAAATAGACTACAGAAAAAAGGTTACCTTATTCCAACCTCGCTACTGGAGGACCTAGTTGATGTTGATCCCATATTAATATCAACCAACCAGTTGATGAAGAGGGAGCTGTGTCCCTCCAAAAGTGATGATTCCAACTTTTCCCAGGTTGACCCCCCCCTATGAATAAACTGGTGTTGATTAATATGGGGTCAACATAATTGAGATCAAGGTATCATTTTGGGAGATCTAAAACACGGCCTCCAAAACAAATTGGCGCCGAGGGATCGATCCGAGCGCGAAAGATGCCGTTGAAGCCGAGCTCGGCTCCATGTCTTTGGCCTCGCAAAGCCCCATGACCCCCTAACCCTTCTTGAGGTCCATGAGTGCTTATCCATGGATAGCCTCCCCCCCCCTCCCCCATAGCCCCATAGCCCCACCCATAGCCCTCGAAAAGCTTGCGAGGCCATGGCGGAGCTGAGCAAGAAGCTGGGGCTCTTCGAGCGGGTGCGGCACCTTTGCCAGGCGGTGGACATCCCCCTGCCGGGGGTGGTGGTGGTAGGCAGGCGCATGGGCGCAGGGGCAGGGGCGGCGCAGAGGGGGTGCAACGGGTTGGTCTTCTTGTTTTGTTTTTTCCCCAACAGCTGAAAGCTGAGGGGTCTCAGCCCAGATAGGCTCCGGGGTGGTCCGGGGCGGCCCTGAGGTAAGGTTCCACCAGGGTTCCACCAAAATTCCACCAGGGTTCCACCAGGGTTTTACCAGGGTTCCACCAGGGTTTTACCAGGGTTCCACCAGGGTTCCACCAGGGTACGAGGTTCTGCAAGGGCTGCGGGGTGGTCCGGGGCGGGTTCCACCAGGGTTCCACCAGGGTTCCACCAATGTTCCACCAGGGTTCCACCACAGCGTTCCACCAGGTTCTGCAAGGGCTGTGGGGTGGTCCGGGGCAGGTTCCACCAGAGTTCCACCAAAGCTCAAGCAGGGTCCCACCAGAGTTCCACCACTGTTCCGCCTAGTTCCACCAACGTTCCAGCAGGGTTTCACCAGGGTTCCACCAGGGTTCCACCAGGTTCTGCAAGGGCTGCGGGGTGGTCCGGGGCGGATTGAGGTAAGGTTCCACGAGGGTTCAACTAGGGTTCCACCAGCGAGGGCGGAACTAAGCAAAACCGAAAGTCAATGGTTTGAGCACACTTTCATTGTACACCAGAGTTCCACCCGGGTTCCACCAACCAGGGGCTCAACTGGGGTTCCACCAGGGTTCCACGAGGTTTTGCTCATGGGCGGAACACGAAGCAAAACCGAAAATCAATGGTTTTCAGCGCACTTTCATTGTATACACTTGTGTAGACAGACAACGTGGCCCGGTGGGCTTTGGGTTCCAAGGGCTTGACGAGGGCTGCGGGCACAGGGGTTCGAGGGTTCCACAAGATTTCCACAGAGCAGTCCTGAGGTAAGGTTCCACAAGCGTTTCACACTGGGTTCACGAGGGTTCCGGGTTTGGAGATTTTCAGGTCTGGTCAGGCCCCGATTGGGCTGGCACCGTCGGGCCTTGATCGGGGATGATCGGGGCCCGATGGCTGCATGTGCCTTATAACAAGACCGGCTTGGTGGCTTGGATTGGTGGTTTGCTCCCCAGGCCCCAGTCGGGCTTCGATTGCAGCGTCGGGCCCCGATCGGGGGCGATCGAAGCGACATCCTAAGCAAAACCGGCTGTGCGCTATGATTGGTGGCTTGGATTGGTCCCGGTCGCAGCGTGGGGCCCCAATCGGGGCCCAACGGCTGCAAAGCAGCATCTAAAGCAAAACCGGCGGCGCGCTGTGACTGGTGGCTTGGATTGGTGGTTTGCTCCCCGGGCCCCGGTCGGGCTTCGATTACAGCGTCGGGCCCGCAGCCTCCAAAGCAAAACCGGCTGTGCGCTATGATTGGTGGCTGGGATTGGTGGTTTGCTCCCCGCCCCGGTCGGGCCCCGATTGCAGCGTCGGGCTGCCCCGGACCACCCCATAGCCCTTGCAGCTTTGCGGAACCCTTGGAACCCAAAGCGCGCTTGATACAGAAATTTGTGCTCGAATCCTTTCGGCGCAAAAAGCGCCCGAAACGTTTGTGGGAGCAAACGACCTGGCGCTAGTGTAGTGACCAGAGTTCGGGCAGTTGTTGAAATTGCGCTCGGTTGCGCGGATTTGCGCCCGAGTCGCGCGAAATTGCGCCCGAAGTTGCTCCGAATTGCGCTCGAAACGCGGGGCAAATTTTGGGCCAAGCCGTCTTCAGAAAATGCAATTGAGCACTTTTTATGTATCAGTTGGGCCTCCAGGAGTCATGCCAAGCATTTACTCTGCTGCGCGCTGAGTCCCACAACAACCTGATCTGATTTGCCACAAAGCCAAATCCTTTCGGGCCGCGTCGTCTGAGCCCGTGAGCAAGTCTATACAGCGAAAGTGTGCTCAAAACCAACCTTTCAACATCCAACCTACCAGTGCTTCATCTTTCATCGTTAAGTTCCCATTGTTGCAGCTAAAGTCACGGGTCCACCCTACGGGCGCCCTCCAACATTGAGTGCCAACCTTTCGGTCCCACGGTGCTTGAACCTTCATGGTCAGGGCTCCAAGCTTCCCAAAGATAGATTCCAACCTTCTGTGATCCATGCAACCTTTCAACCTGTTTTAATACTCCGGATGTTTTTGAACTGGTCCGGCCGGGCCGGGCGCTTGCCAATCGGACCTAGTACAAAACACCAGTTTAACTTCCTTTTGTTTATTTGCTGGCCGGGCCCGGCGTATCTGCTGCGGACCTAGTATAAAACACAAGTTCACCCATTTAGCTGTCCGGGCATGTGTTTGCAGACGCCGTAGGTGTCCCAAACTGGCGGCTTGCCCACCCTAAAACCACATACTTTCGGACACGTTGTTTTGGGCCGTGTCTTGGAAACACTTTTTTTAGGTGTCCCAACTGGGGGTTTGCCCACCCCAAACCACATACTTTCGGACACCTAGTGTTTTGGGCCGTGTCTTGAAAACACTTTTTTTTGGTGTCGCCGAAAACGAATTTGTAGACAAAAAACGGGCGAAGACGAAAATGGGGCGAAGACGAAAATGCCGCCGAGGACGAAATCGAAGACGAAAATCAGGCGAAGACGAAAATGGGGCGAAGACGAAAATGCCGCCGAAGAGAAGACGAACTTGGGGTTTTGCCCGCCCCAAACCACATACCTTCGGACACCTATTGTTGTGGGCCGTGTCTTGAATGAAAACCACTTTTTAGGTGTCCCAAACTGGGGGTTTGCCCACCCCCAAACCAAATACTTTCGGACACCTATTGTTTTGGGCCGTGTCTTGAAAACCACTTCTTTAAAAAATCACAAACCCAATACTTTCGGACACCTATTGTTTTGGGCCGTGTCTTGAAAACCACTTTTTTTTGGGTGTCCCAAACTGGGGGTTTGCCCACCCCAAACCACATACTTTCGGACACCTATTGTTTTGGGTTGTGTCTTGAATGAAAACCACTTTTTTAGGTGTCCCAAACTGGGGGTTTGCCCACCCCAAACCAAATACTTTCGGACACCTATTGTTGTGGGCTTTGTCTTGAAAACACTTTTTTGAGGTGTCCAAAACTGGGGGTTTGCCCGCCCCAAACCACATACTTTCGGACACCTATCGGACACCTATTGTTGTGGGCCGTGTCTCGAATACCACTTTTTTTTTTAGGTGTCCCAAACTGGGGGTTTGCCCACCGCAAACCAAATACTTTCGGACACCTATTGTTGTGGGCTTTGTCTTGAAAACACTTTTTGAGGTGTCCAAAACTGGGGGTTTGCCCGCCCCTAAACCACATACTTTCGGACACCTATCGGACACCTATTGTTGTGGGCCGTGTCTCGAATACCACTTTTTTTTAGGTGTCCCAAACTGGGGGTTTGCCCACCGCAAACCAAATACTTTCGGACACCTATTGTTTTGGGCCGTGTCTTGAATGAAAACCACTTTTTTAGGGGTCCCAAACTGTAGAACCTTGTGGAACCCTTGTAGAACAAGAAGTGCGGAACCTGTAGAACCTTGCCTCACCCCATAGCCCTCTTGTGGAACCCTCATGACCCTTGTGGAACGCTTGTGGAAATTTGTGGAACCATCGTGGTGGAACTCTTGTGGATAACCCTGTGGAACCTTACCTCAGGGCCACCCCGGACCACCCCTCGTGGGACCCTTGCGGAACCTTGAACCTTCCTCTAAAAAAACATGTGGAGACGAGGTTCTGCAAGGGCTGCAGGGTGGTCCGGGGCGGGATTGAGGTAAGGTTCCACGAGGGTGCAACTAGGGTTCCACCAGCAAGGGTTTGCTCATGGGCGGAACACTACAAAACCGAAAGTCAATGGTTTGAGCACACTTTCACCGCGAAGTTCTGCAAGGGCTGCGGGGTGGCGGGCAGTCCTGAAGTAAGGTTCCACAAGGGTTCCACCAGAGTTCCACCAGAATTCTACCAGGGTTCCACCACGGTTCCATGAGGTTCTGCAAGGGATTGATCAACTAGGGTTCTATCAGGGTTCCATGAGAGTTTGCTCACAGGCGGAACACTAAGCAAAACCGAGGGTTTCACGGGGTTGGGCCGTCGGGCCCCAATCGGGGCCCGCTGGCACCGGGCCCCCGATCTGCCGATGGCGCCGTCGTGCCTTAACAGCTACAGCGAGACTGGCTGGCTGTGCGCTATGATTGGTGGCTTGGATTGGTGGTTTGCTCCCGGGCCCCGGTCGAACACCGATTGCAGCGTGGGGCCCCGATCGGGGCCCGACGGCTGTAAAGCGGCGTCTAAAGCAAATCCGGCGGCGCGCTGTGTCTGGTGGTTTGCTGCCCGGGGCCCGGGCCCCAATTGCACCGTCGGGCCCCGATCGGGGCCCGATGGCGCCGTCAGGCCCCGTCGGCTGCACCTTTGTGCAGTTAAGGCGGCGTCCCAAGCAAAAGCGGCAGCGCGCCATGATTGGTGGCTTGGATTTGTGGCTTGTCTGAAGCTCTTCACTGTCAAGTCTTTCGCTAGTCTCGAACCTCAAGAAAAGAAGCATTTCAACGGGGTGTCCAGAGAATAGCTTCGGAAGCGCAGCGCATGAAAAGCAGCTTGTTGGACACCTATTTCAGGACATGTTTCCATGGCCCTTCGCTGTGCCGGAAGAGTCTCCAGTTCATGCGGCAACTGCTTTTCTTCTGTGGAGTCTTGGACCTCCAAGTCCGAAGTAGGTGATTCTTTTGCAACCACTCCCGAATTGCGAAATAATTGTTTGGCCCCCCAGTTTTGAGACACTAGAAGGAGAAGCCAATAAATTGGTTTTGGACATCACGCCAGTTGTGCTGCAGGGGTGTTTCATGTTGGAGTGCTTGGTTTGTTCGATTGGTTCGTCATCAGACGGCAAGTACGGGCATATGCTTTACGAAGATGGCTGTGAACCATGGTGCCCAAGTGGTGTGACCGGATTTCGTCCAGCCACGGTACGAACCCCGCGGGAAGTTGGGAAGCCCAGTGAAACCGTTGAAGACAAGGGGTTATGCTGGTTGCAAAAGATTGGGGCGGATATATTGTTGGAGCTTGGGTTTCAAGGGCTGTTATCCTCATTCCTGAGTGGATTGGCAAAAAAAATCAATACGATTGATTTTGCTAGTAAAATGGTCTTTGCAAAAAAAACACGTCCAGGAACTCAGTATCCAATATTCCTCCTCCTGTAATTAACGGTTGCGAAACCGTGTATTTACAGGGGGGTCGAACCATTCCGTTGGGTTTCTTAGTGGTGCGAGCGGATGCCGCAGCCATCCACAAATTCCGAGTTCCGACCCCTTAAATGCTGCACCACACGGACACCGTGGAAAGCTATTGTTGGCTGAGTGGTGCGAACAGATTTCGCTGCTCAGGTGGTATCCCCAACAGCATGTGGTGCTCTTTTCAGTGCTCGCACCACCCGGTAGTGCTTGGCCTGCACCACACCACCCCGGAACCTCCGGAACCTTCCTTGAACCTTACGCCTGCCTGCGCCAGACCACCCCGAAACCTCCCGAACCTTCCTTGAACCTCCCACTCATCAACAAGTCACGCGTGCGTGCAAACGCGTGCGCAAGTAAAGACGCAACGGCTCACAGAGCTCGGCTTGTTCACGCATCCACCTGGGCTGCACCAGACCACCCTGGAACCTCCGGAGCCATGCTGCCGGAACCTCCTGGCCTGCACCAGACCCTTCTTGAACCTCACACCTGGCCTGCCCCGGAACCTCCGGAACCTTCCTTGAACCTTGCACCTGGCCGACCAGACGAAACACCACCCTGCACCAGACCACCCCGGATGAACCTTACACCTGACCTGCAGCAGACATTGCGGGAACCTGACTTCACCCCCAAACCTGATCTGGGCTGATGAACTGAGACCCCTTTAGCTTTCAGCTGTTGGGGAAAAGCCCAGGGGAGCATGTACCAACAACATGTACCCAGGGGAGCATGTTGACACCAGTGTTTTGTTGGCATTTACAGGGCCACAGGTTCTGCAGGACTCCTTAAAAGATACATTTTGCCCATTTGAAACATGGCTTTTTCCACAAAAAAAAGGGTACCCACCATTTACAAGGCGGTTCAGGTGTATAATGTAAGGATCCTTGTTCTGAGTTCCGACTGCCTGGTGAGAAGCGAGAAAACTCCCAGGCGAGCAGTCCGCGGGGAAGAGCTCGCTGCTGGAGAACATCTCGGGGATACAGTTCCCCAGGGCGCAGAACACCTGCACGCGGATGCCCTGCGTGCTGACGATGCTCACGGATCCCATGATTCCGGAAAGCGGTGGGGTTGGGCGGGGGGGGGGGGGAGTAGCATCATCTCCACCCCAAGTAAATCTGCAATTTTCTGTGAGGCTAAATGGCTAAATCATTGAGCCAATTAGCTTGGGAACATGGCGAACCTTTAAGCTTTTCTAGCTGGTTCTTAGGGGGCCCAATAGGAGGTTTGGGAGCCAACCAATGGATCCAAACTTGCTCAATCCTGTGGCTTCAGCGAAGTCCTTTGGCAAAGTAGGCACGTTCTCCTTGCTGATCTTCATTGTTCTTGGCATGTTTGCACGTTTGCCTCTTTGTGCGGGGGGGGGGGGCTGCAAAGAACAAACTTGTTACTGCCCATGGCCACCGGAAGTGCACCGGTTGGGCGGTTTGCTGCAGGAGCCCTTTGCCATGGTGTCGATGGACTCCGGCGCCTTCGAAAGCAAAAGTCGCTGCAAGGTGGGACTGCTCAGTCCTTCACAGCCATCTCACAACTTCGGTTGCTCCCCTCGTCTGGCAGTGCAAAAGGGTACCCTGTCACCTTTTTTTACCTGGAACCTGACAGGAATCCGGTCCCTTTGAAATGGAAACCAGCGCCCCCGAATGTTAATCCGACAGGGACCCGGTCCCTTGAAAAGGAAAAGCGGTCCAAACCAGGAACCCCCAAACATCAGGTTCCATGTTCACAGGGGCTGGGTTTGTTGAAGCATATACTCCCAGGGAGGAGAACGCTCCACCCGCCCCCCCACCCCCCACCCCCACCCCCAAGCCCACGTGGCTTGCTCGCACGAGGTGGCGGAGGTGGAGGGCCGCATCAAGACGCTCACGGAAGACCACGCGCAGGGGGAGGAGTTCATTTCTCGCAAGGCGCGAGGGGCGAGCTTCTTTGGTAGACTAGGTTTCCCAGTAGTGCCCTTTCTCACCCCCAATAAAGGCACCCCTACTAAAATAGACCACAGAAAAAATTGGGTCCCCTTTTTCTAACCTCTAGTGGAGGGCCGAGTAGAGCTCACCATGATGAAGGTCCTGTTTGTGGGGATTCCTTAGTTCAGCTTTTGGAATTATCAGATAGGATTGAGTTTAGTTTAGGATCGAACACTTAACTTGGGATCAATCTGGAGAGCCCTGCTAGTCAGAGGATCCCCCCTAAAAAATAGCTCATTTTCCTTAATAGAAAAGAAGCAACCGCTGGGTGCTCGAGAACACGGTCTTCCGCCCGCAGCAGGGCAGCGAGGACGCAGCGGTGCAGGACGTGCGGTCCGCAAACAGCATGAACCACGCGACGCAGCCGCAGCACTTCAGCCTGCGATCGCTTGGAAACACGCCAAGTAGTCCAAATGAGAACAAAGGCCAACGATTTGCGGAGGGGCTTCCAGCACGTGCTCCCAAACTAGCCTCGGCGCGGAAGACCCGACAATCGTGGAACGAAACATTCCCCGATGGGTGCCCATGTCATCATCGAGATCCACATGCCGAGCCACCCGATCTACACACTGCGCGACATGATGGTTGGTAAGATCACGATGAGCCGGGAAAACCTGCGCTGAGAAGAGCATGAAATCCCTCAACTTTTTGCGCCACATGTAAGCCACTGACAAAAAGCGGAATCTGTCTGTGTGCAGCTTGTCAGGGTCATGCACGACTAGGCTGCTTGATCGCAACCAACCTCCTATGCTTCCGGGCCACTCGTTGTCCAGTTTCTTGGATACTGTTTGGGAAATTTCATAGCGAGCTCGCTTGGGGGTAGAACGCATTCCTTGTTACATTGTGACCAGTTCCTGCTGTTACTCTTTTGTTGTTTTGTTGTTTGCTCCTAGGTCCAGTTGCCCAGTGGGTGAGCCTTTGCGTTTGCAGTTCCAGCTTGTGAGTTGTAATCTGCCCAGACCGTTGCAGCCTCAACAATTTTCGCTCAAGTGCGGGAGCGATCTAGTGTGCAACGCGCTCCCAATCATCACTTCTTACTTGTCCCCCGCACTCACATTTTTTAAGAAGCGCCAGCAAGCTGAAGCCTGCACAAAGGTCCGTAACACACAACCTTCTGTTTGAAGATATGTTACTTCAGGTCCCAGCTTTGCAAAGGGGGATCCTGGACGCCATGCCCGGTAAAATTACTTCAGCACAGGCCCAGTCCGATTAAGCTGCTTGGACAGGCATGCTGGACTCCGCGCTGCCATCTGTTAAATAAGAGTCATATGAACCATACATATCCGCTCTTTTGTCTAGAAGACGGGTTGGATGTGGCTTTTGTGGAGCCACCCCTGTAGGATATTAACAGGGTGCTAACGATGACTAAGAAAGAGCCAACAAGGGGAAGAACTGGTTTTTCTGGTGCCCCCCTTCACCAAACAATATTGGTGATGATTCAGCTCAGACCACACGCACTATAGTTCCTCTTCATTTGGGCATTGTAGTTTTTGCATTATTGCCCTGCTCATGGTTACAAACCATCGAAAAAGGGGACCCCCTACTTGTCGTGGGTGTTTGCAACCATGCCATGAACTGTTGCCAGGCCCTTTACGTGCGCGTGGTGCGCCAGTCGGGGCCGCAGCTTGCATTGATTGACCTCCCCGGGGTGACCCACAATGCTGAGAAGATGAAGGACATCCACGAGGAGGGAGAGACATGCCACAGGTTCTTGAAAATCCGAGGTCAAGACAGATCATTTTTTCAACCAGAAGCCAGATTTTTTGGGGCAGTTTGAAGACCCCGAACAATTTGCCAGGTTCTAGCTTAGTCCGGGGTCAACATTACACAAAGGAAGCCCTTTTTTAAGATTGGCAATCTTCAATTTCTGAGGGCTGAGATGGTGAGAATTGTTGCTTGTTTGATGGCACTGTGACACATTCGTGCCGAAAATTAGTTCTCAGCGCCAGCCTTTCCCAACGGTATTTCAAATTATATCCTGCATTGTAGAGTTGACAAAATAGCAGGCAGAAACTGAACTCACAATGATTTTGGTGCATTCCAGTTACCAGGCTGATGTTTGTGATGGTTCTTAAATCGGCGGATGGGTCAGTAGAAGGTGGACACGGGGGTGGCTTGTTGCAAGCTGGTCGGCTGCAAGGTGACGGTGCGGCTGGTGGAAGATTACATCAAACCGCAAGAGATGGTGATTCTCTGCGTCATCCCCGCCATGTCGGACTTTGGCAATGCTGAGGTGGGCTGTGAACACTAGTGAGGCCCAAAGGCTTTTGCGTAACAGACCGTGCGCTGTTTTGTGCTCCAAAGGCCAAAGACAGGCCACCGGTATCGCAGAGATTGGTGGCCGTTTTGCCCACAGGCCTACTTCAAGTGATGCGTGTGTTTGCCTTACTTTTGTTCGTATGTTATGTGTTTGTAGCGCTGGCTGCTAGCTCTGCCGGAGTTGTCCGCCTGCACACAAGCAAGAGGCAAAAGCCCAGACTGCTCGTGACTCACTCGCATTGTTGTTGCTCGTCGCATGCGAGGCGGGTGTCGCGCACTGGCAGACAGTTTGCCACTGAGACGACAGAGCTTCGAAAACATTCGCCCGCTCGTTGCGCTCAGCAACAAGCCGAGCATCACTACCTGCGCGCTCAGTCTCTTCTCATGAGCTGTGCTGCCCGGAGGAGTCACAAAGATCACGCTCGCCAAGGTCGTCGCCGAAGACGATCGATTTCGCTCCACCGCGTAGAGAGCCCGCAGGGTCGATCGCTCACTGGCGGTCGTCCATCCATTCCCCTATAACTCGTCGCATGGCGCAGGCAAAGCGCAGTCTGACACGGCATCAAGCTGCGCCATGGTCTTGCTCCAGAAGGTGCCGACGGCCCTCGCACAGCATCCAGTCTGCATGCGCTCCAGCCGCCTTTTATCATAGCCGCTTGTCTCCTTCTACAGATGGTGTGACAAAGGGCTCGAAGCTATTACTATTTAGGTCTCCTTCCAAATTGCCCAGCGTCCGCTTTTGACCTTGGAGGGAGTTTGTGCCACGAGGGCATCAGCCGGACGCTTCGTCGCCGTGGTCTGCGCGGAGTCAGCCAGTGCAAAACCTGATCTGACTAGCGATGGCCTTCCATGCCAATGATGCTGGCCCCGCGTTGTCCTGCAGCAGCCGGCAGATTCGCCGTGCAGGGCCATGGCCTTCAGCAGATGCTCAACCGAAACGCTGGCAATAAGCTTGCCGTGTTTGCCGAAACCTCGGCGCTGAACGTGCGCTTCGGTTGCCCGCATGAGGTGAAGTCTGCGGCTGACATCGTACATCACTGGGAGCAAAGACTCCGAATGTGACCACCTGGGCAGCATACGGGGGACCGCTTCATCCTCTGCCAAGGCGTAGTGTAGCTCCTCCCGCAGCCAGAGGTAGACCTCAGGCGCGATCCGGAGCAGCGTCGCGTCGTAGAAACGGCACTCCGTCTCCCCATTGAAACAAGTGGGGATATGCCATCGCCCAGGTGGAGGGCTCAAACATGCTCGCCGGCTCTGCTTCAGATGGCACGACAAGCTTGAGCACACACACACACACAGGTCAAGCGCATGACACTGGCTGCGCGTCAGATGACCAGGAACCTTTGCCATAACATCGACGTGCGCCATTTTCATATAGCAGTATCCATGCTGTGAGCTGAGGGAGTGGTTCGTCTATCTTTCTATCTATCTGTGGGGTCTAATCTGAACTCATCTAATCTAAGCTACCTATCTAATTGTTTTGTTTCTATATCTATCCATTGTATCTACTGATCGATCTGCGTGCCGTATCTTGGCCCACAGTGAGAGCGCCTCGACACGCACGATCTCCGCAGAGGGTTCGCCGAGCTCAAGACAAACTCGCGCAGCGCCGCAGCGAGTGCGCTGCAGCGCGCGTGAGGTCCGCAGGCGGTTCGCCGAGGTCAAGACAAATTCGCACGCTTCGACATGCAGGATCTCCGCAGAGGGTTCGCCGAGATCAAGACACACGACCTTTGCGTGTGGAAACTTAGCAATGCTTCAGCCGGAGCTGCGGGAATGCGCTTCGCGCACTTCTTTGCATACTACTTGCGTGCTTAGAAGTTGCGATTCTCGAGCCGGAGCTGCGAGGAACACACTTCGCGTTCTACTTTTACGCTCAAAATTCTTCTGGCGCTCAAATGTGAGTTTGCCTCTAGAACTGCGGGAGCACAGTTTCCGTATTTTTTTGGCTTAAGAGATACGCAGACCCGGGGGGAATTGAGCCAGCGACCGAGCGCTTGCGAAAGCATGCGCGCAAACCACAAGACAATTTTCTAGGGCTCCCGGTGGGGCTTGGTGTTACGCTGCGCCTCGCGAACGGGATGTTCATTCTCACTCATCTCAGCTCTCACTTATTTCACTTACGCTCACTCACGTTCATCCCAACTCTCACTCCCACTCGCTCACACTCATCTCCGTCACACTGATCACATTCATCTCACCTTGTCACTTCACTCATCTCAACTCTCACTCATCGCACTTGCAGTCATTCCACCCACACTCGTCTCACTCACCTCATCTCACTCATCTCACTCATCTCACTCATCTCACTCATCTCACTCACCTCACTCACAGTCACATTACTCCGACTGATCTCACTCATCGCAGCCAGTAGAGGTCTTTTTTGAATGGTTCTTCTTGCGACATAAGAAGGCTGGTTTCTATGAGCCTTGGCCAAGCTTGCTGCAAAAGCTTTGCATGTGGGGTTATGCGGTCCTTTAACTGTTGCGAGCACGCACAGTGCCGTGGCATTGCGCAGGCCTGTTGATGGGTGCATTGCTTGGAGGGTACCTTTGCGGGGTGGCTCGCAAGGGAAACCGCCAGGACAAACCCAAAGTCTCGTGGCTTGTTATTTTTTCGCACACGGCGGGGAAAACATCGCCAGGTCATCAAGCTTGCGCGGAAGTTCGACCCCGCAGGCTTGCGGACGTTGGGGGTGGTCACCAAGTGCGACGACGCGGCGCAAGCTGAGGCCTCCGACATCGTGGAGAAGGCTTGGCCCGGAGCGGGATGCACCGGTGGGCCTGGGTACCCATGCTGGAAGCCAAAAACCGTCTCCCTGAACTGCGTTTCCTGCATGAGCTTGTTTCCAACATTTTTTAGGAGTTGCTACTGCAGAGTAGCCAGTCGCAGCCATCCTCGCACCAGCGCGGAGGTTGTCTAACGTGCAGGGCTTCATGTTGCTAGGTTTCAGTTCGGAGCTTCAGGGAGAGGGTCACCAACATACCTGGACCACCCAAATCGGCAGAAGTTTCTGCCTTTTTGGAAAAAGGCGCCTTTTTGCTGTTGGCGGCGTTTTTAGTTTCTCTGGCAGCGTTTTTTCTCAAAAATCAAGTTCTGTGCAAAACAGGCAGCAGGAAATCCGCGGAATTCGGCGGGAAATCGGCGGATTTCGGCGGGAAATCGGCGGAATTTCGCGGAAGCAGGTTTCAGCATGTTGGAGTGTTTGTTGCGTTTCGGCGCTGTTTCTCGCGGGCGGCGTTTTTTGGGCTTTTCGGCGGCGCCGGGGAAAGTTCTGCCGCCGGAGGGTCCAGGTAGGCTTAGACAGTCTAATTACACATAGTGGTGCGGCGTTTGAGAGGTTGAAGCCTCAAGAAGGGAGCTGCAGCAGTGAAATCGCAGAGGATTAGGCACGCGGGGACAGAACTCAAAACCAGTTGATGAAAGGGCACTTTTGCCGGAATCCTCTAATCCTCTAATTACTTTTTGGAAACACCCCCAAACCCAGTCTGTCATTTACGCCAAACTCCGGAGTCTGGAGATCCGGGCTCTCCATATCCGGATCCTAGGTGCTGATGACAAGGGACTCCGATGTTCGCCTTGCTTTGGGCTTTCACTGCGTGGTAAACCGCTCGCAGAAGAACATCGACGAGGCTGGGCTCTTGCACCCATGAAATTTCATGGCAAAGAGCCCCTAACATTCTGCATTGCGGCCGCGGTCAGCGACTGCGCGCTGAGCAAGCGCCGAGTGCACAGAGCACGCGCCACACGCACCGAGTACGCACCGAGTGCACCGAGCACTTCTCCAGGGCACCGAGTGCACCGAGTACGCACGGAGTGCGCCGAGTACACGCCGAGTACGCGTGCACCGAGTACGCGCCGAGTGGACCGAGTACGCAGTGAGTGCGCGCCGAGTACGCTCCGAGTGCACTGGGTACGCGCCGGGTGCACGGAGTGCGCACTGAGTACGCACTGAGTACGCAAAGAGTGCGCCGAGTACGCACCCGCTGCCCCGAGTACGCACAGGGTGCACCGAGTACGCAGCGAGTGCACCGCGCACGCACCGAGTGCACCGAGTACGCACCAAGTGCATTGAGTACGCGCCAAGTGCGCCGAGGTCGCGCTGAGTGCACCGAGTTCGCTCCTAGTGCGCCGAGATGCACCGAGTGCGTGCCGAGCGCACAGAGTACGCAAAGAGTGCACGAGTGCGCGCCAAGTAAGCGCACCGAGTACGTGCCAAGCGGGCCGAGTACGCGCCGAGTGCACTGAGTACGCGCCGAGTGCACCGAGTACGCTCCAAGTGCGCGAGCGCACACCGAGTAAGCGCACCGAGGACGTGCCGAGTACGCTCCGAGTGCGCTGAGTACGCGCCGAGTACGCACCGAGTGTAGAGTACAGAGTACGCACCGAGCGCACCGAATACGAGCCGAGTACACCGTACCCGGAGTGCGCTTCGAGCGCGCCGAGTACACGCCGAGCGCACCGAACACGCACCAAGCGCACCGAGTGCACTGAGTACGCACCGAATGCACCGAGCACGCGCCAAGTGCACCGAGTACACGCCGAGTGCACCGAGTGCGTGCCGAGAACCCTCCAAGTGGACCGAGTGCACCGAGTTGCACCGAGTACGCACCGAGTGCACCGAGCATGCTCCGAGTGCACCGAGTACACACCGACTGCGCCCAGTACGCAGCGCGCACCGAGTGCACCCTGCACGCACCGAGTGCGCCGAGTACGCAAGCAGCACACGCTAAACTGCAAGAGAAGCCCGAACCGCACCATATCTCTTCAACATGCAAAAAACACAGCGAAGCACAACAAGCAACATTATGCAAACTCAAACTCCTCATAAGCAGTCTCCCACTAAACTTATGACACATTCTTCATGTATTGCGTGTAAGGTTTGTCAAATTTAATAAGAATGTTTCCTGTATGTAGGATTTCTGATGCGATGCTATCATTTTCACAGTCGCTTACTCCACCTTTTATAATGTTTAAGCGCAATTGTTTCTCTTTTGTTTCCTTTGTGTCATAGTCATCTTCTTTATGAAATGCCACTCAGAATTAGAGGAGCGGTCCTGAGTCAGCATGCGAAGAGCATGTTTTTAGAAGGCGAATTAGAGCCGTATGCTTCTTCCATTGCACCATTATCTAAACCTTCTACACGTTGTGCCAAGGTCATACTCACAATGTTCTATTTCAATTGAACAAACCTGGTGTGTTTGTTGGACTCTTGTTTTGCATGTGGATTTCACGTTTTTGCTGCTCTGTTAAAAGTGTTCTATTTCATCACTTTACACCATCTTAATGTTCGAAGTCAATAGTTCTTAAGTCATTGTCAAGCAATGAATCTACGCGTGTTATTAAATGGTCAAACTGAACATACATCGTACAATGATTGTTTGTAAGGTTTTGTGGGGCAAGTTTAATCATAATTGAACATCGCCTATATCATTTAGTCTTTAAGCACCATGAAGCAGTTTGAACCTGCTTTGCTTATTTGAAAGCATGTTTTGCTTTACCATGTTTATGGCTAGGTGCTATCGGATAATCATTATGTAAACCGTGGGGTTCGTTATGAGTTATGACATTCTTAAATCTACTTCCAATGTATATATATATATCTATGCATATTGAAACTGTGATAGTCTACAATATCTTCTTTCGCATGTCCGTACCCCACTTTAAACGTTCGCATGACAGTTGCTGTATCATACTTCAACCATGTAAGTTTTTGAAGTCAACCATGGCGAATATAACTACGTTCAATAGCTTCATCATCATCATTCTGCATGTGTTGCTTATTTGCTTCTATTTTCTTGCAGGCTGTTAATCCTTCCGCCTTCTTGCATCATTCCTCCTCTTAATCCTTTTCAAACCATTTCATACGTCACTTTCTCAAACACTAAGTCTATTTCAACACCAGTTAGTTTTAACATAGCACCAAAAGCGAAGATAGGTGCCGTGTAATATTCCACCGGGTCTCAACCCGAATCTTTCATACATAAGTCTAAAGTTTTCAGTCATGTCGGTCAACTCTAAACCTCCGATTTTCAAATGCAAATCGTGATGTTTTCAATGTGAACATGCTTCCATATCAAACTTAGCTTTGTCATATTCTTCATCAGGTCTACCAACCTTGCTCAACTCACTGCAAGACATCTTTAGGTGGCAAATGTTCATCTTCAATCTTTTCACTCCAAGAAGTCAAAGCGTGTTGCGGCTTTGATGATCAGATTTGCGAATACAGCTAAAGTGTTCTGCCAGTTCTCACGTAGTACCCATTTACTTGTTTCTTTCAGCTGTACGCTCATACCTTGTTACTGAACCTAATTTGTCTAAAGATGAAACTGAAACTGTCTTGAATACTTACATTATCCAAGCCAATGCTGATATTATTCTCAATGTTGTGCACAACTTCTCAGCATTCTGAGCAATTTCAAGTGTCCGTCATTGTTGTTGCCATGATGAACAAATGCTGGTATGGTATGTTGACACTTATGGCAGAAGCTGACATTGCTACGTGCACAACCCCTAAACTTGCCTGGCGCGTACCCGGCGCACCCGAAGGCGCACTCGGCGTGTACCTGGCGCGCCCGGCGTGCATCTGGGCGCTCAGCACATACCCGGCGCGCCCGGCCACTATACCTGGTGCACCCTACTTGACGCACTCGCCGCGCGTATGCGCAGCCGGCGTCTGCCTGGCGCGCCAGGCCTGGCGAGTATCCGGCGCGCGCCTCAGTGCAGCCGGCGCGTTACCCGGCGCGCGCGGCGCGTACCTGGCCCGGCGCAGCGCACCCGTGCGTGCCCCGCGCACCCGGCGCGCGCCCGGCGCGTATACCGGGTCGAGTTTTCAATTGTTTGTGCCACGTGGTTGGTTCACTGACACTCGACCATCCACTGTACCTCGCGCCTTTCGTTTTTGCTTGCAGCCTCTGAGGTTTTTAGGTCTGAAGTTGTATTTGTTCAAGGCAACTTTTTTTGGTTTCACGCAAAAACTCTTTTTTTGGGGGGGGTTCCATGAAAACCCCCTTGGACTGAGGGCATGTCGCGGACGGATTTGTGGCAGAAGGAGGTGAAGGTGTTCAGCGACTCCGCGCCCAGTCTGCCCAGCACGCCCGTTTGTGATCGGCTAGACCTCCCTTTCTACAGGTCTCATCTAAAGGGAGTTTCTGTGAAGTGCAGCGATGGTGAAGGGGAAATGTAGGGATCTTTGTTCTGGACAATTACCCACATCACAAGCAACTGGCAAGGGCCCACTCAACATTACACATCGAACATTTACAAGGCTCCCTCATTTTCTGCAAATCCACGTAGAGCTTTTGTCCCTGCATTCAGCTGCTCCCCCTTTTGTTTGGATGGGGCTAAATTCTGAAATCTCCTCCCATGTTATATTCCGGGGTAGACAAAAAGAACAGAGTCACATAATGCGTCATGTTTACAGCACAGCGGGCCAAGAATCAACCAACACAAGAAGGGGGGAATGGCTTGCCGCGTGTGCGACACTCAGGAACGGCTGCGGACCCTTCCGCCGGAGAACTGGGGCACATCGCGGCTCATGGAGAAGATCGCTTCCGTCCAGGAGATGCCTTGGCCGGTCCAGTTCTCTTGGGCCATGTTTCGGTGACCCACCCAAACAAAAAGGAATTCCAAGGTTGCTACTGAACAACCGGGCTCTCTACAACTACATCAGACGTATGACATTTGAGCCAAACTTTCTCGTGGATATCAAACTTAACTTGGTGGTTTGCAGCCATCTCCTTTTGCCAAGTCCATTTTTTAGCAGACAGCCCAGTTGACAATCACATTTGAACAATCTATAGCTCGCCCTTTAAGAAATGCAGATGAGGTGTTCTGGCTGGGCTTGCTACCTATCTTGCAATGCGATCTCTTGATGTGAAGCTTTGCCGCAGGAAGCACGGGTGGATGAGTGCCTGCCAAAGATCAAGGACTGGGGGGCTTGGCCTCCGCTGAAACTGGCGGAGCTTGTTTGGTTGAAACAAGCTCCTCCGTGTTTGCCCTTTAAACACTGGCCGGCAGGCCAAAACTGCTCCCACTCACCTGGGATCAGCGCATGACGATTTCGCCTAAGTTTGTAGTCTGTCAGCAGCTTGACAAAACAGGTCAAAACCGCTTCTGTTGCACCAACCCCTTTTCGGCCGCGAACATGCGCCCGCACTATCACCAGCACTGCAAACAGCACACTGTCACCAGCAAGCTCGCAAGGCTGCCCACATCAACCAGCGCCCCAAACTGCGTGCCTCCTAGCACCCTGCTGTCAATCTCGCAAATCACTTTCTCCTCATTGTTAGAAGTTAGAACCCGTCGAACCCGCGGCGCTCGCGTGGAGCGCAGGAGTCGGTGCGCGCGAAGATGTTGCAGCTCCGGCAAGAGCTGCGGAACCTGCCGCCGCAGGCAGAGACCGAGGCGGCGGGTCCGTTCTTCTCAATTAGTTTTTCCGGGGTCTCCTCCAAAACCTGGCGGCCCGGCAGCCGCGTGCTGATTGTCAGCCCCATCCTATGCTTGAGGACTGCGTAGGGAGCTGGTTGAGCAACTGAGCTGCGGATGCCTTTGTCAATTGTGCCTGGCCTCAGCTTGCTACGTGATGTGCTTTTGCTTGGCTGTACGGTGATGCCTGCAGCGCATTGCTTTGTTTTGGCAGCGAGAATCACGGCTGGCTGGCTTTCTCATTGAGTTTGTTTTTGTGCTGCAATTAGATGTGCTTGCAAAGATCCGTCTTTTAAGATTAAACCAACCCTGCCCCGCGGGTACGTTTCAGAATCTGGGACCTTAGAAATAATGGTGCTCCATGTCGTTTCCCTTAGTCTGGACAGGGTGCCCCCAAAAAAGCTCACACCCATATCTTTTCAATCATGTTGGCAAGAACGAGCTCACCAATGATGAAGGGTCCTCTACCTTGGGATTTCCCCTTCCTAGCTTGAGAGTTATATTTCTTTTCAACTGGTTTGTGGTGTAGAAATCGACGTAGGTTGGGCTTTCCTCCAGACATCCAATTTCTCTGGGGGAGGCTCGAAAAAGCGAGTTGGTTTGACGGAACATGAGGGAAAGTTTGCTCGGCGCCAAGCCAGACGCAATGTTTTTGTTTCCCTCCATAGCGGGACAACGGTCTCTTAGAGTTAAGCAGTATTTTCGGACCCCACACCCCATAAATGAATTAGAGCGTGTTTTAAGTACCCTGTTTGGAAGCATGCCGCGGTGACCATGTTTCTTTGTTACTCGAATAATTTTAGGATGATCAGGATGCAGCCCAATTCCGGAGAAGTTTGGTGAAATCTTTCAAGGCACTCTTTTGGGCAAGAACCTCTCATTCAACACTTCTCCTTGGCAAACGTTGGATAGGTAGACGTATCTGCAAACTACAGAACGACCAATGGGAGTCGATCTCGACAGATCCCTCTAGGCAGACCAGTTCCGGCTTTTCAACGGCATCCTTGTTAAGATCAACGCAGACTTGGAGCAACGGGTGCGGGCAGAGTATATCAGCACAGAAGCGTGCGACCGGGACCTTGCAATCGCTCCGAAGGTGGGCGAAAACTGAGAGTGATGGACAGGTTCCCCTAGTCTTCTTTGCTGCTCCAATACTGACCCCTCTCAGAACTTGCACCTTTCTGGGGGCTGCAAGATGTGCTGTCGTTTGCTTTTGGTTTGCCGATTGGGCTTCATCGTTCAGACGGGTTCCGGGTTGAATGATCGCGACCATGTGAAGCCCAGATCCAGAAACCAGCCCCACATGAACACAAGTGCAGTTGCCAACAAAGGCGACGAGAAGCACGGTTGTTCCGTCACAAACAATATACAAGGGCATAGTTATTTGGAACTTCCAGTACTTGGTTGGTTTATGACATGGTAGGACACGTTGCCTGAGGTGGCCCTCATGGTGCAAACCTTTCGACAGAAGCTGTTCGCTGCGAACCCAGAATGGCTGGGGCAAGACATGATCGACGAGGTTACCGATACTGTGGAGACCTTTGTGCATGGCTACACGGTTGACAACCTCACTGGCCCTCAGGTCAGGGTTGCGCTGAATCTGCATAAACGCCACCCATATCCTGGTTCCATTTTGAAGGCAAACCACAACCAAGGGTTTTTCTGTGCAGGTGTTCATCAACCTCGTCAAGCGCATTTTCGTGGAGGATGGGCTCCTCCAGGGAGAGGTAGCGGATCTAATTGACCGTGTCGCGAAGCACTTGGGAAAGGCTGGATGGTTGCTGATCTTTGCGTGCGCCGGGTCTTTTCCCTCACTGCGGTTTGTTTCAGCATGAGCGCCTAGTGCTAGCCATGCCATGAATTTTGGCAGGTGGTATATCACCTCATCGAGCAGCATGCGGACTTGAACAACGTCGTTGCGGCCCGCTTGGCCTTGAAAGCTGACGACGTGATCGATCGGTTGACCTCCAAAGCCACGGGGTTCTGCGACGCACTGGCGCGAGCGCAGGCCGTGACTTCCACCACCCACGGGGCCTACATGGTGAAACTTACCCAGCCCCGCGTCCAAACGTGAGACTTTGGAAGGTAGTTGGGCCAAATGAAGCTTGAACGCGCTAGCTTAGGTTTCGCAAGTCCTGGGTCCAGGAGGGCGCGCAGCGCCTTCAGGAGATCTTGATGCACGTCCTCTCACCCGGGGGCTACGGGGAAGGACCCAGCGACGCCAGCGCCCTTGGCTGACTTTTGCTGACTTTGGCTGACAGGGCTTGTGGTAATGTTGAAATCTACCCAGCTCAATCAGTCATATTCATAAATAAGTAACACACACACAAACATATATATATATGTATGTGTATCTGATTATCTGGATTTTTTGTTCACCCAGTTCAGCTCTGTTGTCTCGGATGCGCATTTCTTGTGTTGGGTTTGCTTCCAGGAGAACCATCCAGTAAAACCTAGACTTTGGGCCTAGTTCATCTAGCGAAGTATTTTATGGGTTCACTGCCCTTTAGGGTTGTCCATGACCATAAGTGTGGAAGCACCTGAGGCGAGAAGGGAGCGCTGACCCCAGAGTTCGTGGCTATGGTGAAGGCGGCACCGGCGGAGCCCCAGAAGCTCGCCATCCTTGAGATTTGCGCCTCCTTGCACGTGTACACAGGGAACATGATCGAAGGCGGGGGGGGGGGATACCGTTTCATTGCACGATTGACCCTCGCAGCAAGCCTCCGTGTATTAGCTCGTGCTGCACGCAACTGTCACAGTTTGTCACACCTGGACCTTTGTTGCGGCAGAAATTTCTGCCGCAAATCAAAAAGGGCGCCTTTTTGGATGTGCGGCATTTCTTCCTGATTTGCGGCGTTTTTTTTTTTTTAAATGCGGCAGAACTCGTTTCAAGTTTTTTCCACCCCCCGATTTTGAGGCGGAAATCGGCGGGAATGCGGCGGAAATCGGCGGGAATGCGGCGGAATTTCCCAGAAAGCAAACGGTGTTGCGGCTTTTTGTTTTGGTTGCGGCATTTTTTGTTTGCGGCGCCGCAATGCGTTGCGGCAGAAAAATCCGCCGCGTTGTGCAGCCCGCAGATACGCAGACCAGCCTTAGCGCCTTGTTATACTTTCTGCCTGTGAGCCCTATTTGCGCTACAAAGTGGTAGCGGAGCCCGGGTTCGCTTCCAACATCCCCGCGTCGACTGCGATTCACTGGGCTCGACGGCGTGACTGTTCCGCAGGGCTTGGCCCCTTCGTGGCGTGAGGGCTCAAGTTGAACCCCGGTTTCGAACCTTTGCTGTTTGGCAGGTCCCCTCTTGACCGCCTTTGGTGTGCTCGCTTCTCCAACAGGCCCAGCCGGTTTGAGGCTTCCCTACCTGGAACAGTTAAGGCGGTAACCTTTGAAGCGGCTTGCTTCTGGTTTGCAACCTTGGCGTGGGCTTGGTCTCCATGTTGGCTGCATAGCAAGCATGGCACGGGCTTTGGCAACACCATCGTTTTCTTGATGTGCAAGAACTCAATTGGCTTTGTGGTGAACGTTTAGAAACGAGACAGGCAGACACGGCGCATTTTTTTAAGGAAGCAGGGAGGGACGAATTCGTTCACAAATGTACGAGCTCGATATCGAACTTTCAGCTTCGCCGGGCTAGAGAGATCCACCTGGTTGCGGACACGGCGGCAACCCACAGTTTGACAGATATTTCGCCTTTGCTCACCAACTCGCTGGAGGACGGTCCGAGAGCCCGCCAGAAGACAAAGGTGCAGCTCTGATTTGGTGACGGGGACTTTTGATGACCACAGACGGGCTGCCTTCCACCTGCCTTTGCCACCGGAATTTCAATGGGTTATCAAGAGACGGCTGCGTGTTATTACAGGGAGAACTGCCAATCTGCAGTCATGGCTGCGGCGCAGCTGAGGACAAGCTTTGCGAGGAAGAGCGGCTTGGCCCGATGAGGCCCCGCGCTGCTCCATGGCCGCCATCGGCGCACGATGGCACACATCGTGTTCAAGTGAACACCGGGATCTGTCTTGCCTGGTGCGCAGTGTCGGCAGATTTGTGGCGCGTTGCCTTCCGTTCATGCAGGAAGGGTTATGTGGATGTTCACTGGCCTGGCTCTTTAGAAGCTTGGTCCCACGTATCTTGCACAGAGGACTGAAGGCTTGCCTCTTTGACCACCAGCCCGTCTGATCCATTGCAGGACAAAAGGCCATGCTTGCATTCTCAGTCACTTGTTGTTAAAACCCGCCTGGCCCCGTGCCTAAATTGGGACGCCGTTCTGAGGTCCATGTTCTTGTTGGTTGTAATATTCCAATGGACGCCACATTTGGCTCAAGATGCAAGTAGGGCTTAAGGTCTTGCATGAACTTACGTTTGCCTGTGATCGATCTGTGTGAGAGAAATCAGGTGCAATCGCGCTGCTGATGTCGGACGTGTGCGTGCGGTTATTGGACAATACCCTTACAACAGTTTGCACTAGTTTGGCTGTATCGGTTTGGCCGTATATCCTTTCTACGTGGTTGAGTACATTCAGCTGGAAGCTTGGTGGACAGCGTCCCACGGGACGTCATCTTGCGCTCTTGACAGGTTATCAGCCGTACAACAAGCTCTACACTGGACAGAGAGACAGCTGGTTTCTTGCGGGCACAGGAACTACAGAAGAACAATAACCTACACAGTACAATGGAATCTTCAGCGAGCCCAAGTACTGCAACTTTTTGGAACGACAGTTCAGAGGGATCCAATGGATTGATGGCTCTTCCTGCGGTCATGGATATGGTTGCAGATTCACAGGATGAACCTGGAAGCGGTGGATCTGTATTATTCAGCGACATATCCACGCCTGCGAGATCATGGAAACAGATCGCTATTCGTCAGGAGTCGAGACAGAGAGATTCTCCACCGAGGAGATCATCATCTTCGCCAGCGACCCCACGGGCGTCGCAGAAGAGCGTGAGGTCGTCATCGAAAGGGGGGAGATCCAAATCGCCCACGAGTGCCGAGTTTCGCGCCATCATCAAGGAGAAGAACAAGATGGAGACGGAGATCGGGGAGTATCAGAAGACACTTGATGAAATGTCGGCGGCAATGGCAAATCTTCATCAAGAAGACTATGGGAGCACCATCCGGATCCAGGAACTGGAGAGACGATGCGAGATTGCCAGCAAGCAATCGAAGCATCTTGTGAGTCATCACCAACACCATATGGCAGAGGCCTGGCGTAAGTTTGAGGCGGAGGCCCAACAGATGCGCGAGGCGGAAATGAACGCATATCAATACGGGGGGAAGAAAGACATGGAGTCGAACGCTATGATGCAACAAATGTGACAAGCTGAGGGAATGATCGTGGAGCAGAAACGGGAGATTGCAATGATGAGATCCTACATGGCAAGCGAGAAGGCGGCTGCACAGGAATCAGCGATACATGCAAATCAAATTCACCGTGAAGCTTCAAAGCAGATATCCGTTTATCAACAGCAGATCAGGGGGATTGAATCATCTACATCTATTGAGAAGTTCAACGAGGAGGAGATGGTTCAAAGCCTGAAGTCACAGTTGGAACATGCACTGGTCAAGCGCCCCGAAATGTACTCTATGGAGGACACCAGGGAGCAGCTAATGACAAGACTGAATGACGTGACGGCATTTGCGGAACAAGAATCGAAAAGAGCAGAGTGCCTCCTTCGAGAGAAGGAAGAGATCGTCAAACAGTATGAATCCGACGTGTCAAAGAAGGACCAGATGATTGCTATAGAGGGTGGTCACCGTCAGGCAGGGAAGCGACACAAGAAGAACGATGCACGATGGACGAGAAGTCGAAAGAGGCTGAGTTCTGGAAGTCGACGGCTAAAGGGATGTATGATGAGTACCTCAAGGAGATGCGCAAGCTTCATGAACAACTGAAGAATCGGGAGGCGATGCTCAAACAAGAAGAGAGCTTCGTTCGTCAGCTCGATGCGGACAATGAGGAACTCAGAACGTTCAAGAAGCTGGAGATACAGGAAGCCTCGAGCAAGAAGGATGAACTTCGTGAACGAGCAGTAGTGAAGCGCCCTGAGGGAGGAACCCAACTTAATTCGGTTAGGGAAGATAAGAAGATGACCGGGATATTCCCGTCATCATCATCCAATTCGATCCCTAATTCATCACTAGTGCCGGGTTCGATTCTCTTTCCGTCTTTTGGTGATCCAATGATTGATGTACACCTATCACAGATGCAAGGGGTTGTCGGGCTAGTCCCACAACCTACTACAACTGGTGGTGGTGGTAATGGAGGGGGGAACAATGACAATACGCCTCCGTTGGATTACAATGGATTCTCGTCCGGTGGAAACCAACAGGGACCGGGTCAACGTCATTTGAGTCTGACAGGTGGTGGAGGAGGACCTCCGGATGTACCACCCGATGATGAGGACGAGGATGGCGATGACGACGAGGATGAGGAAGACGAGGAAGAAGAAGATGACAACCAGACACGGAGGGGACGCAGACGATTGAGGGATGATCGGGAGATCAAGAACGAGAGGCCGAGGATATCAAGGGAAGAGGCCGAGAGGGTATCCATTCCCAATTGGCCAAAGATCCATCAACTCGACAACTGGAAGATGCAATTGCTGATGAACGTACTGAGCGCATGCGCAGATCCAGATACCGATACGTGGACAAGATGGTTGGCTCAGGCTCTCGGGTTAAACCCAGACCTCAATCTACTGAACGACTGCGGCGGTGACAGGTTCGCTACGATTGACATCAAAATGGCCATGGGCATGCAGAACATGCTGAGACAAGCACCAGACGAGGCCAAAGATGTATACCTCGATGCTACACGACATTCGGAGCTACGACATCAACAAGGGGTGATCGTGAAGGGACGAGAATTAGTGGCATTGGTCATGCAATCATTCAGAACATCTGATGGAACGGACCTTGTCTATCACATCGAGCACTTATTCAACCTCGATTTTCCTGGCAGCAAAAACTTGGCTGTGTTCAGGAACAAGTGGTATGATTTGCCGCTAAAGATGAGGAGCGAAGACAGACCCAGTCCATTGGCACTGAGAGATATCCTGTACAGGAAGATCAAAGGGAGCAAGAAGATGGAGTTTGGCCTCAACGCCTACCACAGGTTACCGGACAAACATCCTCAGAAGTCGTACGAATTCCTGTTAGCTTTGATTGACCACCAAATCAAGTCGGATCGGGAGGACCTGATGCTCGACATGAAGGAGAAGTCAGTCAAGACAATGATGAAGTCAGGCAGCAAGGATGCGGCTCCGGCTGCCGGAAAGCAGGAGGGCCAGAATGGCAAAGGCAAAAAGGACAAATCCAAGGGACCTGATGCCGCTCCTGTACTCCCGAAGGCCAAGGCAAAGGGTCACGCAGGCAAGAACGGCAAGTCCGATGGTGCCAATGACAGGGGCAAGAGTCCGAGCGGAAACAAGGAGAATCCATGTTGGTATCACTTCAAAGCGGAAGCTGGAGAACATGCCCAAAGGAAAGGGGAAAGGAAAATCCAAATCCAGGTCATCCTCACCAAAGAAGGAGGATGGGGTGTGCTACGCATTCCAGAAGGGAAAGTGCGAGAATGGCAATGCTTGCAATTACAAACATGAGCTCATCAAGAAGATCAACTCGGCTCCGGCAACGTCGGGAGACAAGACACAACCCAAGTCGAAGGCTGCCCCCAAGGCC